ATACGTACCCCGACTCACTCATATCCAGATACGCACTAATCGCACTCATACTCAGACTCACTCGTACGCGGCCTTATTCACACTCAGATTCACTCGCACTCAGACTCGCCCACCCTCATATTCATTCATAGTCAGCTTCGTTCGGACTCAGACTCGCCCATACTCAGACTCGGACTCGTCATTCATACTCAGGCCCACTCGCACTGAGAGATGCTAACACTCAGACTAACTCACACTCAGAGTTGCGCCTGCTGCTGCCCCCCCCTCTCCCGCTCGCTGCCCGCGCTCGGTTTTTCCTGTCCTCGTCGTCCTCCTCCTCCTCCTCCTCCTTGCCCGAACTGGTGGCCCGAATTTCGGCCACGCTCGCCAGGCAGTTTCTGACAACGAGTTTCGGCGCGCATTCGACTCATACCCACTCATACTGAGACGCACCCGTATTCAGACCCTCTTTGACCCAGACTTGCCCACACTCAAGTTTGACCATTCCTGGGCTCACTCGCAGTGCGACTCACTTAGACTGAATCATTTGCGTCAGATCACTGACATATCCTCACCTCCCTCTTACTCTTCCTCCTCAACATTCAGACTCACGCGTACTCAGACTCACTCAAAGCCAGTCTCGCTCACATTCAGACTCACTCTTACCCAAGCGTTCTGACACGCAGACTCACGCATACTCAGACTCAGACTCACACTCGCCAAACTGATACCCAGACCACTCACACCCAGACTAGCTCACACTCAGTCTCCCTCACATTCATATTCATATTCGCTCATATTCAGTCTCACTCATACTCAGACGTACCCGCACCCAGACCCTCTCATATTTAGACTTGCTCACAGTCAAACTTAATTATTCCTGGGCTCACTCACACTCATATTCGAACGCACTTAAATCACTCACGCTCAGATCCACTTACAGTGCGCCTAACTTGGATTCTTCAGTGCTCCATCGCTTTTTACTTGTGTTTCCCTCATCACTCCTGAAGAATGCCCATAGAAGGGGGATTTGGGGGACGTCACTGAAGTCATCGCTGTCGTCGGCGTTGTCGTCGTCGTCGTCGTCGCGCCCGCGGCAGGAGTATGAGATGCGCATAGTGGGATCCCCGCGTCGAGTAATTGGGGGGCTCCTCCCCCCCCTTCTCCCCCCTCCGCCTCCTCCCCGCTCCTTTCTTTGTGTTTCTCCTGATGTGGTTCTGCTCCCTTGCCCCCCGCCTTCCCTGTTTCCCCTTTCTGTCCGCCCCACTGTCGTGGCCGTGTCCCCAAAAGGACGTTGCCTTGGAGGCGTCCCTGCAGCGTGGGTCCCACCTGCGCATGGTGTCGTCGCCCAGACCTGCCCGGACGCGGGGCGGATGGCCAGCCATCGTCGAAGAACGACGTGATACAGTGGAAGCCCATGCCAAGAAACACTCTGCTTGCCTCCAGGGTGCCCTGGGTTTCGATTGTTTTGCTGTGGAGAGGGTGACGTTCCCACACCAACAAAACAATCAATGGACGTCATGGGGTCTCGAGGTTGGGTTTATTGTGGAAGGAGCCTTGGTCGAGCTCCTTCTGTAGCATCACCTTCCTCTCCCATTCCTCTTCACTGGCGCGGCCCTTGCAGGTCCCCAGCGGTGGGTTCTTCGTGGGAAGGGCAGCAGAAGCAGGCCAGAGCTCGGACCCCCTCTCCTCGATCATGGGTCCTCTTCCTCATCCTCGGACGCGGCGTCGGGCATCCGCCGTCGGGCCTCGGGGCATGGTCGGCGGTGCGGTGGGCGGCATCGCGGTGCCGTCCTCCCCCCTCGGCTGCTTCTGTGGAACTCTTGGCCTGCCTCGCGCACCAGTGCACCTTCTGCTCCACCTCCTCTCCGAGTTCCTCCTCTTGGTCCGCCTCCTCCCCCCCCCCCCGTCGCCCTTCTCCTCCTCCTCCTCCGCTTCCTCCCCGCTCGCCCTCCGAGGGGCGCGCCTCAACGTCAGCGGCACTGCGCTCGGGACTCCGTCTCGGCAGCGCAGCGAGCGCAACCACGCTCTCCGCTCCCCTCGCCCTCCTCGAGGGAAGTGCTCTTTTTGAGCACTGCTTCGACGTCAAGCAGCCGAATGAGCCGAATCCAGCTTCGAACGAAAACGACGAACTTCTCTCGGGCTTCCTTCCCCTCCCCCTCCCCACCTGTTCCACACCTGCCCGTCCGAGAGAAGGGGGGGGAGAAATGTTGCGATGGGCTGTGAGGCCTCGTGGAGACCTCTTCCGGCCCTCTCGAGGGTCTGCTGGGGGTCCCTCGGGGGTTCTTGGGAGCCTCTCGGGGGCCTCGGGGCGGCCGCCTCGGAGGCCAACTCCTGACGAGGCCTTCTCGCCTGCGATAGGGGGGGAGCACCTGCCGGGCCCGTGGAGCGACACACGCGGAATCTGGCAAAAACGCGGAGACACATTCGAAATGTAAACGCAGCACTTGACAAACAAAAAGCTGAACAAACATTTGCTTGGCGAAGCGCCCACCCGTATGCAGTTGTGAGTACCGCAGTTGTGGGGCTCGTCCTCCGTGGATCTCCCTGTAGGCTATGAAACGCCGTATTGGGTGGGGGAGGCACGCGAACTGAGCCACTTGGGACCTTCGGTGAGGCTCCCTCTGGGGCCACGAAACGCTGTACTGAGCGGGGGGGGGGTCGCATGCGAGCTGCGCCATTGGGACCTCATGTAGAGCTCCCTCTGGGGCCACGAAACACCGTACTGGGCGGGAGGGGCGCGTCGGTGGAGCTGGGGCCACGAAGCGCTGTACTGGGTGGAAGGAACTGCGCCACGGGGACCTTTGGTTGAACTCTCTCTGGGGCCACGAAACGCTGTACTGGGCGGGGGGAGGGGGACTCCCACGCGAACTGCGCCACTGGGACCTTCGGTGGAGCTCCCTCTGGGGCCACGAACGCTGTACTGGGCGGGGGGGGGTCGCATGCGAGCTGCGCCAGTGGGACCTTATGTGGAGCTCCCTCTGGGGCCACGAAACATTGTACTGGGCAGGAGGGGGGGGGCGGTGGAGCTGGGGCCACGGAACGCTGTACTGGGTGGAAGGAACTGCGCCGCTGGGACCTTCGGTGGAGCTCCCTCTGGGGCCACGAAGCGCTGTACTGGGCGGGGGGGGCGCATGCGATCTGCTCCACCAGGGACCTTCGGTGGAGCTCCTTCAGAGGCCTTGAAGCGCTGTACTCGGCGGGGGGGACGCATGCGAACTGCACCACTGGGACCTTCGGTGGAGCTCCCTCTGGGGCCACGAAGCGCTGTACTGGGCGGGCGGGACCAATCGATCTGCGCCACCTGTGACCTTCGGTGGAGCTTCCTCTGAGACCACGAAACGCTGTACTGGGTGGGAGAGACGCATGCGAACTTCAGAGAATGGAGGAGGGGGAGGAGGAAAGAGGAGAGGAGAGGAGAGGTGAGGAGGAACGCGGGGCGCTCTCTCTGAAAACGAGGACCCAGCACCACAGGATGCATTGCTGGTTCAAGAAAGCCGCAAAGACAACGAAGAAGATAACATATTTTCAAAGCGCCCCCCCCCGAGAGGCGCTGCGCACCGAGATGCGGCAGAACATTTGGAGGAGGTGAGGCGCAGAGCCCGACGGCCGGCCTGTCGCGCCCCGCGCCCCGCTCGGACGGGGCCAGGGCCTAGGACAAATCCTTCTCCCTCCTCTCGCCTCCGTCCTCCCTCCTTCCTCCTCCTCCTCCCCCCTCCTCCTCCTCATCCTCCTCCTCCTCCTCCTCCTCCTCCTGCTCTTCCTCCTCTTCATTCTCGTCCTCCTCCTCTTCCTCCTCCTCTCTCCTTTTCCTCCTCCATTATTTATCAATTCCTTTGTTCTCCTCCTCCCTCCTCCTCCCTCCTCTCCTCCTTCCTCTTCCTCCTCACTTTTCTCAATCCCTTTTTTTCCTCCTCCTCCATCCGCCACCTCCTCCTCCTCCTCCTCGTCCTCCTCCTCCTCCACCCCCGATCCTCTTTCCTCCGTCCTCCTCCTCCTCGTCCACCTCCGTCCTCCTTTTCTTTTTCCGTCCTCCTCCTCCTCCTCCTCTTCCTCCTCCTCCTCCTCCTCCTCCTCCCCCTCCTCCTCCTCCTTCTCCTCCTCCTCCTCCTCCTCCTCGTCCACCTCCTCCTCCTCCTCTCCTCCTCCTCCTCCCTCTCCTCCTCCTTCTCCTCCTCTCCCCTCCTCCTCCACCTCCTCCTCCTCCTCCTACCTCCTCCTCCTCCTCCTCCTCCTCCTCCCCCTCCCCCTCCCCCTCCCCCTTCTCCTCCCTCCCCCTCTGCTCTTCCTCCCACCTTCTCTTCCTCCTCCTCCTCCTCACTTCCTCCTCCTCTTCTTCCTCCCCTCCTCCTCCTTCCCTCCCTCCTCCTCCCCTTCCTCCCTCCCTCCCTCCTTCCCTCCCTCCCTCCCTCCATCCCTCCCTCCTCCCTCCCTCCCTCCCTCACTCTCCCCCCGTCTTCCGTCCCTCCTCCCTCCCTCCCTCCTCCTCCTCCTCCTCCCTTCCTGGCTCCTCCTCTCCCTCCTCCTCCCTGTCTCCTCCTCCTCCTTCCTCCTCCTCTTCCTGCCCCTCCTCTTCCATCCTCCTCCTCCTTCTCCTCCTCCTCCTCCTCCCTCCTTCTCCTCCTCCCCTCCTCCCTTGTCCTCCTCCCTCCTTCCTACTTCCTCGTCCTCCTCCTGCTCCTCCTCCTCCTCCTCTTCCCCCTTCTCCTCCTCCTCCTCCTCCTCCTCCTCCGTCCTCCTTCTCCTTCGTCGTCCTCCTCCTCCTCCTCCTTCTGCTCCTGCTCCTGCTCCTCCCTCCCTCCCTCCACTCAAACAATCGTGGTTCAGACGGCGGGGACAATTCGGGCACGGGGGCCGTCCATTCTGGCCAAAGCACCCGTCCCGACCCTTGCGCGCCTCCACGCTGTACTTGAGGGGCGCCGGGTAATCCCGAACTGGGGCCGCTCTCGGCGGCGAGCGGGTGCAGCGGGTGCGGGCGTTGTGAGTACAACGCCACGCTCGAGACCCGCGACAGGAGATGCATGTGTGGAAGGCAGGTCACGCTGTACAAGCCCAAAGGCGGCGAGCAGGACGACCATGCCAATGATATTGTGGAGTTAGATTCGAAGAGCGACAAGGCCACCAAGGGCACAGGCAAGGGCAAGGGCGGCGCGGGCAAAGGGGGCACACAGCCTGACCAAGCCACGCCCCCAGCCTCACGCCTGCAGTTGCTCCAGCAGACGATCTCCACCGCGTCCGCTCCTCTTCTGCTGAAGCTCCTCCAGGATGAGTTGGCGAAGGTGCAGGCGGCGAGCACACCGACCCAGAGCCCCGAGGAGGCGCTCAGGCTGGCAGCAGGCGCATGGCGCGACGCCACCCTGCGCCACGACCAGGCTGTCAACGCGGTGGTCAAGGCGCAGGAGAACCTTACCAAAGCTCAGCAGCGAGAGAGGGCGGCCGCACTCGACCTGGCCAAAGCCGAGCAGGCCTGGCAGATCGCGGCGCACGGTCTGGCCTCCGACATGGGCATCGCCCCGAAGGAGAAGGATATCCTCTTCCAGGTGCAGATCGCTGAGGAGTTCTTTGCAGGCGGCCTTGAGGGCCTCGACATCGAGCAGCAGGACCTCGAGGTTTTGCATGCTTTAGAGAAGGAGCTCAGGAGCGCGCGCGCAGGCCGTCATGGAAGGCAAGCGTTCCGAGGCCCAGCGCTGGCAGGTCCGCATGAAGGAGCTTCGCCAGAAGGTCTACGAGCGGTTCGCCAAGAAGAGGCGCGCGGTTGACGAAGGTGCGGTGGCAGGGGCGGCACCGGCGCCAGCAGCGGGGGCTCCCGCGGCAGGCGGCGGCGCCAGTAGTGCGGCGACGGGGGCCACCGAGATCCCTGCCCCCGGCAGCGGGCCAGCCAGGGGGCGAAGTTGCAGCAGGCGGCCGACCGCCGTAGCGAGGCCAAGTTGGCAGCGGTAGCGGCAGCGCAGGCGGCGACGGCGATGGCAGCGGCGAGCATCGCTTCCACAGCACCGCCAGCCTTGTCTGCTTGACGGGGGCCGCCTGCTCCACGGACCCCGAAGGCCCATTCGCAGGGGCTCGAGGGTCACGCCGGCATCAGGCCCCTACGATGCAGTTGAAGTGGCTGCTGATGATATTTCACACCGGGTTGCAAGCACCTTCTTTTTCGCCGACGTCACTTGCGCGGGAAATTTAGCCTGGGATTACTTTGCCTCTCGCTCCCACGATTGCGTAGGCCTGGCGGAGACGCGCGTGGGCGACTTGACCACGGCCGACTGCGACAGCAAAGATCGCGCTACCCGCCTTCGGCCCCTCACCAACCCAGCTCGATCTTCAGGGCGTGGCTCCTGGCGCAGGGCCACCGCGGCGCGAGGAGCCTTGCGGAGTCTTGGACGGCCCTACGAGCGGAAGGGCACACATCGTTATATGGCATGCTGGTGTCAGTCATAGAAATGCGCGTGTTGTCCTTTGTTTCAGTCTGCTTCTACGGATTTGCCAATGAGTTGGGCAGGTAGGAACCTGCAGCGGTTTCCGAGGCTCGGGGCGCCCCTTGTCAGTCTCCAGCTTCCAGGGGTTGTCCTTGCAGTTTGGAGCGCACCTGTTAGCGCTCTAGAGTCCAGAGCGTATTTCGCCAACGTTGGAGGGCGTGCCTTGAGGGCTTCGAGCCTCGCAGCCACGCGCGCGGCAGGTGCGAGAGGTTCGGGTTCCATGCGTTCTGTCTTTTGAGGCCACGGCCCACGTGCCATGGAAAACGCGCTGTGGCCTGCTGCTACGCTCCCGAGGGTCAGGCGCCCAGTTATTTGCGCGCTCTTTGGGTCTGCCTTTCTGGCTGCCTCAGCCCCTCCCCCCCCCTCCCCCGGGCCCAAGTTGTCCAGGGCAAAGGCCCAGCGTCGCGGCGTCGCGCGGCTCAGGAGAAGGGGGGCGCTCGTGCTCGGGAGGAACATCGGTTGCTTTTTTGGGTGCGTTCTTGACGAGCCCGACTCGGGCTTGGAAGGGGGTCCACCCGACATTCCAATGCACCTATGCATCTAAGAGTGGATGTGGGTTCGGGGGCCCAGTGCGAAGCGGAGGAAGATCCGTGGGCTGACAAAGAGAATGCCGGCGCCTGCGACGGGGTTTCTGTCTCTTGCGCGCTCCGCCCTGGAGCCAGCAGTATCGGGGGCACGGCTGGAGTCAATTTCGTTAGCCCTGGACCTTCCCCAAGTCCCCCGAGGGCCCCATCGGGCATCGCTGCGCCCAGCCCCCCGACCCAGGCAGCTGCGCCCCAGGAAGTGTCAGCAGCCCCTTTGTGCACGACGGCCGTTGCTCCTGCGCTCGCCCCCCCCCCCCCCCCCCTTCTCCATTCCGTCGACACCTCGGCTCGAGTATCGCGCCCAGGTTTTTTCTTTCGGCCCCATGTCGCTGGGGGCGCCATTTCAGACTCGCGCGCTTTCATGGCGGGCGCCACTCACATTCCGCACATCAGCGGGGCGCGCGGCGCGCGGGCGACTGCGGCGGAGAGCTGCATCCCAGCACCCCGCGGTATGGCCATCCCGCCAGGACGGCCCCGTTGTGCTGCTGGAGCGTGCTTCCGAGTGCACGAGGCGCGGATGGCCGAGAGATGCAGGGCTCTACTGCTCCACGACAGGCGCAGTGCATGGTGGTCCCGGGTGCGCGCGGTGCTGGCCAGGACGCTGCACCGCAGGCGCAATGGCAACGGAGCTCGGCAATGTGCCGCGCTGGCAGAGGCCTGCCAGAAGCTGGCCACTGACTATCCGAGCCAAGCCCACCAGGCGCTGCGCTGGACGTGGACATGGGTTGCTTGGCTGCAGCACATACGCGAACCCTTTCACACTCTCGATGGGTTTGCTGACTGACTTACTGGAGTTGGCCAGCAATGGGGGCCGTCAGGGTCGGCGGCAGAGCCCCCCACGCGTCCTTGGGCGACTTCCGCTCATGGATGGTCGAGGAGGGGCCAATCAACTTTCTTCACGCGGGCCTCGAGAATACCGTAGCCCCAGCGCAGGAGGCGGTCGCGCCCGAGGGGGCGCTGAACCACCCGCGCGACATCATTGGTAGCAAGATCACGAAGTGGCACGACCTCTGGGGGCGACAGCCGCTGATCAAGGTCGAGCTGCCGAGGGCCATGGATGCGATCAAGGAGGAGGCGGCCTTCCAGGGCCCCCCCCCCCTCTCTCACGGGCGACATGCTCAGGGCCGCCGCGCACCCGATGCGGCCGAGAGCGGGTCAGGGAGCGGGCGGGGTCTCACCGCTGGCGCAGGTCCTGGCGGCGGCGGAGTCTCGCCCCAGCTGGCTTCGGCAACTTCTCTCGGTTGTCGGACGCTTGTTGCCAGAGAAGGCAGGGGGCGACAGATCGATAGGACTGGTAGGTTTGGTTCCTCGGTTCTGGTCGATGGCCAGGGGGCCGCTGATCAAAGATTGGACAGAGGCATCTCGTCCTCACTGAGACGCAGCAGAGGCAGGGAGCTCCTCCTTGCGGGATGGGCTTCTTCCGCATTCTCGGAGACGATGTATACTCGCGTCTAGGTCTCTCGTTCGTGCGTGGCTTGGTCGACAGTCAGAGTTTCTGCAACGGCATGCGCTGGTTACGATTGACCAAGTCAGCCCTTGCACTGGGGCTTCCCCCAGTTATCTTCTTTCCTGAGTTGCAGTTGCGCATCAGTCCTCGCACTTTGGCCCGGAAGGATTGCTTTTCGGAGGCTTTCCAGCCGAGTCCCGGCGTGGTCCGGGGGCTGCGCAGCGGGGCGAGACTTGCGCGCTGCGTGACCTACTTCATTCTGGATCGGCTTGCGGCGTCTTTCCCCGGAGTCCGCATTCGACTGTGGATCGACGACATGTCACAACATGTGCTGGGATCGCGCAGGAATGCGCGTTATACATCGGTACAGGTGCTGGTTCAGACGAGCGAAGGCATGCGCAACCGTGGGCTGGATGAGGCGAGCAAGAGCGTCGTTCTGCGCTACACGCACCAGGGCGCCAAGTTCGTGGCAGCGAGCCTGCGGCGCAAGGGGGTCACCATGACGGCGGTCCGCCAGTCGGCCTTCGCCGGCCTTGGCGCGGGGGCAGGCCGCCGCGCGCGCGCCGCTCAGCGGAAGCGGGTGGTGAAGGCCTTCGCGATGCATCGGCGCCTCGCAGGTTTCGCGCGCGTAGCCCGCGGGCATCGCCCGTCGATGAGGCTCGAGGCTGCGGGCGCGCAGCCGGCGGCGCACTACGGCCATCAGGTGATGGGCGTCTTCGGCGCGGCGATGCCGGGCACGAACAGTCGCCCGGGCCACGCGGCCAGCTCGGCCAAGCGAGGGAGATGCCTCACCTCGGTCCTGGACCGCAGGTACGTCGACCAGGACCCAGGCTACGGCCCCCCTTCGACTGCCTAAACTCGTGGCTGCGCACGTGGTTCGCCGAGCCGCGCCTCGGGAATGGCGCGAAGCAGGCGTGGCCAAAGGCGGTGCAACAGCTCAGGGACCTCGACCCATCGCAGCGCAGCCGCCACGTGCGCGGCCCACTGTCTTCGGTCATTTCGTATTTGTTGCAGTGCACTTGGGGCTCAGTCTCGGCCGTGGAGCGGGGCGCGCTGCCGCCAGGGTCCGAGGGCGGAGAAGCTTTCATTTTCGACGGCGGCCCGGGCCCGGACACCGATTTCACAAACATTATTCTTGAGCTCGAAGCTACCATCAAGCGCCAACAATGACCGCAGGCTTCGACGCGTTTTTGCGGAGGTGGCCTGCAGCGAGGGGCCGACGACAGATCCCTGAGGAGCTACCTTCGCACCCTTGAGCGCGCCCACAAAAAGCACGAGCTTTCGGAGATGATGCCATGCATTTCTGCTGGGGGCACCTGGCCCAGACAGAGGATCGAGGGCGACGCAGGCGGCCGCGACTCGGCGCTCTTTACGCGCTGCGGCCTCGACCCCCTGGACCACGTTTCATCGTTGCTGGTCCTGCCCCAAGAACAGTGGGGCAGTGGTATATGAGGCTTCAGAATGCCTCCTGCTTCAGGCGCATCCGCAACATGAGATCGAGCCTATTTTGGCTCCGTGGCATTCTGCCAGCGTCGCGGACCGAAGTTCCAGCCCCAGTCGACCAAACGCGCTGGCTTGGCAGCGGCCTCGGGCCCCAACTCACCCGAGGCTTGTTTGGCACGGGCTCCGCCATGGCGCCGCTTGTGCAGTTCGGCGGCGCCAGTGGAGGTCCCGACCCGCGGGGCCCCCGACTCCGCAGAGTCGGGATCGGCGTCGCGACCATCTCTGCTTTCAGCCCGCGCCGAGTTGACACGTCGATTAGTGGACCGCTGCACGGCAGGAGGCAAACTGTCCCGAGAGGGAGGGGAATTGCTCGGCCCTGTCAGCGCAGTTGAATACAGCGAGGGACCTCTCATTTACGTTGCAGACACTGAGGCGGTCATGCGAGGCTGGCACCAGCGGGCCACCGACCACCCCAAGGGCGGCAATGCGGATTTGTGGCGCAGGCTCGGCAAGTTGCGACTTCGGCGCGACTTGGACACCACTGTGGTGGTGCAGGTACCTTCTCACCAGTCTGCAGCAGACATAGTGCGCTCAGGGCTGCCTTAGTGGTTGGCTCTGGGCAATGCTGCAGCAGACGAGCATGCAGGCCAGGCGACGCTCGAAGCCCGCCTACCCCTGCACTGTCGGCACAACGACGCCAGGACAGAACACATGGCCCGACTTGTCCGCAGGCGACAACTCCGTGCTCACCTCGAGGCAGTGGTTGTGGATAAAAAGACAGGCGATCGCCGTGAAAAAAACGTTGCCCTCACACCTCTGC